TTGTGGAACTGATATCATGTTGTGCTGCATTTGCATTCTGCCTAGTACGACGCCTCATTTTCAGTAGCTCCTGTTTGCTGTGTTAAAGTTACTCCATTAGCTGTTAACACAAACTCAACACTTGCTGTAAATGTTTCTGCCCTCTAGACTGTCAGTGGACAGAAAACCTATACTTCTTAACAGGACTTTTATTGCTGTGTTGACGTGCTGCAGTAAGTGTATCGTCTCATTTCTGGATTCTGGCGTTTACGCTAGTTTCTTTAGCTTAGCAGTCGCAATGGCTTCTCTCTCCCTCCGACTCTCCTGCTCTCTCTGTTTGGTGTGTCTTGTGTTTTGTTATTCCTCTGCCTCCCTCAGTAATAATGATACATGTAATGAGAGTATTTTATTTGCCATAATGGAGACAAAGCTCAGTGAACTGGAAGCGTCACTCCGCTTCCCTGCAGCTCCCAAGCAGCCGGGAAACAGGGGTGACTGCCTGTAACAAGAGGTGTAGCCCCAAACCCACAGTATGCACCCATACGGCCAACCATACACCAGATTTATACCAAGTCTGTTTGAAAACAGTCTCCATAGTGACAAATGCGCTACTTGGCAACACTGCAGGCTTTAAACACCCGTCTAATAGAACCAGTGTGCGTCAAATCATTTGAAAGAGCAACAGCCAATGGGGAAACTCCAACTCAATCACATGGCATTTGGCTGACCAATGGTGAAAATATGATCAGTCAGTCTGCCAGTCAGTCAGTCAGTCAGTAAGGGGCATTCATGAATATTAGGCTGGGTAATCTATTTGATACTGACCTTTATTCTTATGCTGGTTTAGTCATGATTTAATTTACAAATACACAACACACAATATCCACTCAGTAGTAAAATCCTTTTCATCTTTTTCTACAGCTGAAATCTTTTTTTACATTATTCATTTTCTGATCATAATGTAATGTATCTGCAGGTTGTTCACATGTTCCATTGTATAATTGGGACTGTTTTCCTGCTGCTGTAATAGTTGTCAAGGTCTCCACTGATGCTTGCGAGAAGCATGCTTTCAACCTTTCAAAAGTTTCCATCACATACCCCGTGACTATTGGCTTTGGTTTCTATGACAACTAAGTTGAACTATAAGTTGACTCATCTTTTACAAGCATGGGTACAGGATTGTGGAGAAGAAAAATATTTTGGTCCGAAAATTGTTTCGGAGCCAATCCTGCACTGCAAAATAGAAAAGAAATCCAATTTCTTAAGACTGTGAAAGAAAAAATTTACCAATGGAATGGGATTATTTTTTACCAATATGTGTTACCTGGTACCCGTCTTATTCTGTCTCCCTTTAAAATACAGTCATTGAGACAGTGTAAGTTAAGATGGATGTATTTGCAGTGTGTTTGTGTGACATACAGTCCTGACCTTGCCGTACTCCTCATCCTTTGTTGCTCAGGTTGGTAGTTAGTGTCTGGGCTTTTAAATACATTAGAGAGGCTTTATTTACATCTTTAGTGCACATATTATATGTGTCTGCTTAGAAAAAAAAATGGAGTCTACCTCTCAAACAGAACTGCCAATGGTGATATTTCTGACACTGTTTCTCACTTTGCGATATGATCACAATATAAACCAGCAAAGAAATCTGGTGTGATATAAACAGAGCCCACATTGTCTGAAATTCTCCCCGTGAAGAAACTGTAAGGGATTTCAGATACAGATGAAAAGACAGACACGGTGAAACTGCGAAGCAGGCGAGTCACTCGAGTCCATTCATAGACTTACAAATGCTGGATTAACTAGATGCAGCCATGGTAACATGAGGATGAGCAGAGCAGCCTTGAGTAGTTTTAGAGAAGCACAGTGAGTTACTGCCTGCGAGCTTTGTGACGCAGGTTCCACTTTTGCGTATGCTTCTATCGTATGACAGACTAAATAGCCTTCCTGTGGATAATTACAACTGATATAAATCACATTAGAGGAATAGACTGCATGAGGCACTGTTTGTGTTGGGAGGGGGGCTGAGAAAGGCTCCTCCTCTCTCCCCTCTTATGAGATATTTTAACCTCCATTGAAATACACAAGCAAAAAAAAATAAAACCTTAAGCAATGGCTAATAACTGATGACATACAAGGATCCTGCATATTGCATCGCTGAAACAGCTACAGTGTATTGGCTGTAACCAGTTTCTTATTTATACATACACTGTTAGAGGTTGAATTCTATGTAATGTACTTTCATGTGATTGGCAATGCAAGCAACTGTGACAACTGATTTCATGGCGCAGCTTCAAATATTGAGATAAACAGAATAACTGAATTATAACTGTGCCTCATAAATGGCAACAGAAGACCTCCTAAAGTAAGGAAAGGACAGAGTGCTCCGAGTCAAAGGTCAGAGATACAAATAAACAGTTAAGCTAAGTGAAATATAGAAGAATCCTTTTCATATAAAGCGCTTTATGTAAGTTTTTCAATAATCACCATATTACAAAAACCCCTGGAGTATCACAGGTTTGAAAACAATCCTCGAGGTTGCTCTGAGAATCCTTTGTTTAAGTCCAGTGACTGACTTTTACTCTTCTTTCAAATGGCACCAAACACTGCAATATCCATATCCCTTAAGAGGCTGTTACTATGGTGACAGCGCACCAAAATGGTGGATGTCAATGACACTTTAGCTGTTGTGTCAAGCACATGCACATATACGAACATAAAACTGTACGTATGGCTTGAAAACATATTTTGCAGAACGTAAACCCATTCTTCAATATACATATGCACTGATGAAGACACTGGAAAGTGTCCTGTCTCAATATATTTGTGTCTCGGGCACTCTGGGCTGTCTCTTAACATGGAGATACCTCACCTTTTATCTGCAGAATATCCAAATCTAGGGTGTACCTGAGCTCTATTTTTGAAGCAAACCTCCCCACCTCCTCACTACTTCTGGTGAATAAATGCTTTTGTTCTACTGTTGCTCCCGCACCACTGGGGTTATATTTATATTTCCAAGTGTGCTTTTACCTTTAAGCATTTATCTCTCTCCATTAAAATTCAGGTTTCGTACTTCAGGTTGAGGTCTGGAAAACTCTTTTAGACTTAAACTTAGACAGCTGACATAGAGGTGATTGACTCCCTCCTGCAGTGAAAGATTTGAGAAGGATTATAAACCTCCCACTCTAAAATAATGACAGTGATATAAGGGATTCCAGGACTCAGGTTTGTGATACAGCACAACTTGTTCTGCTAAGACAACGAGAGTTTTGGAGAGCCATGTGCTACCGGGACTCAGAGAAGAGAGAGTAGGTGGTTTTGTGGGTAGGTGGGGAGCAGGTTAAAGATGCTCCACCGCTCTCTTTCCTGTTATCCCAATGGCCTTTTAGCGGCATTACTCATTTTAGGAAAGAGACACTCCTGTTATATAAGCCAGAGCTGCCTACCAGCTAAAATCCCCACAGATCCTCAGTATACCTGTATGTAATTGGAAAGTATTGCCGATGGTCAGATCAGTTTTCTCTTGAAACTACTGCCGCATGCAGAGAGCTTTGTATAAAGACGAAAGCTGCAGGTAACTTCAAAGATTTGAAAGACAAATGTGAACAAAATGAAATGATTTTTTCTACGTCCTGCTTCCAGACGTTTTCACACCAAAATGCTGATGCTGCCTAGACATGACATGAACAGGAAAAAAAACAAAAAAACAAGAATTTTAACAGGTCAGTGAAGAGGATGAGGATGTCACCTTACTCCAAGAGTGTGTTGACAGATAGGGTGTCAATATTGTTTCTCCCTCACTTCAGCTCTGTAGGGATACAGCCCATATGGTATGTTACTGCCAATAACTTTCCATCGCCCAGGTTTCAGTTTATTTCAGGTCTGACAATCAGTTTTTGAACAGATTAAGACTGTAGCCTGTCCTTCATGGCCTCTAGGATCCATTCAAACACATCAAGAAGATCTCCCTTGTCTTAAAAGATAGAGCTGATGTTGGCACAGACCCCAGTAAAGCAGGTGAGCAATTCTGAGATCTTTCGGTTCACTCGAGCTCCGTCTCAGTCGATCACTGTGGGATTTCTGCTTCTCCTCGGGTTGGCGTTTCACACTTTGAAGAGGCCTGCATCAGTTGAGAGTAGAGCTGGGTTCTGCAGCGCGGTGCAGAGAAATCAGCAGAGCTGTGCTGCTTACTTATTAACATGATCGGTGGGTGGTCGATGGCTTTTGAACATTTTGTGATGGTGTCTCTTTTGTATGAAAGTATATCAGTTGCCCCTCCAAGGTGTCTTTGGATCATGGTGACTACGCATTTTTCTATGGATCATCATGTGCATCATGTAAGGTCAATCAGGCTACTGGGCGTTGTTTTCTGCCTCCATCCCCCTGTAGGCTCCTGTGAGCAGTTTAATAATATTGCGTCTTTTCATCTTTTGTGATTCAACTTTTGTTATGAATATGTAGGCCTATAATAATTAGGTGTGTGTGCCTGCCTCTCTCTCACTCTCATTAAATAAAAGGTAAGGAAATGCTGCCCATATTTTCAAATCAATCACTGCAACAGATGCAAAAACAAACAAACAAAAAAACACACAATAAACAAACAAAAAAAAACTTCTCTATGAGATCAGAGATGGAGACTGTGAGTGTGCAGGGAATAAGTTGTTTTTGGGAGAGATGGGAGATTTAGATGTGTTGACAACTTCCGGAAGGACTTTGGAAAAAGAATAAAATCTTTTGACCGTGCTTCTTCCTCTTAGTGCAGAACAGCTGACGAGCAGTCTCCAGCTGAGCATCACTGTTAAAAGTCTTCAAAATGATGGCAACTGTTATCAAAACATTTGCTGCACAGATGCACTTACAAATACGCACAAACAGTCGTACACTTTGCATCTCACACGCGCGCGCGCGCACACACACACACACACACACACACACACACACACACACACACACACACACACACACACTTTCCCCTCCTTCCTGCATCATAGCCCGCTGTTACCATCACACGTTCACGTAATACTCCCGTGAACAGGCAGACTTGTTGGAAATGCTCGAGGATCTTAAGGCTCTCTGACAGCGCGCGCTGGCTGTAAAAAGCAAAATAATCTGTGGAATCATCCAAAGAGAAAAAAAAGTGACATATTCCAATATAAAGGCAGGGGATTGGATTATTGATCATCACCCTTTTACTTCACTGAAGGTAAGTGAGCGCAGTTTGTCTTACCGTCCTAATATTGCAAACCACTGCTGTCAGAAACGCGAGAAGTGAAGAATGTTGAGGAATGTTCTCCGAGATTTATCATTCAGTGACTGTCCTCTTTGACCAGACTATCACACTAAAACACAAGACACAGTATTTGTCTCGAAAAAAAACAAAAAACTTTTGCGTCAATCACACATTTTGTTGGGATTATCAGACAATGCTCGCGCGTGATTTCAGAAACCTGCAGGATAGTTTTCATGCGATTTGTTCAGCTGCAACATCAGTCCAAGCAGTGGTGATGCGCAAATACTGTAGGTACAGCCTGTTTAAACTGTCTAAGCTGCTTGAGCAGTGAGGTTGTCAGTAAATTTCCAGTCTATAATCGGGTGAAACCTTTTTGTAATTGATTTATTAATTTATTTTTTGACACTTCTTCTCATTATGGGAAGCTCAGCAAGTTCAGTCACATATAAGCTTTATAATGTATAGTTCACAGAGGCTCAAACTGCGCTTCTGATTTACATAAGGCGTGCTCTTGTTGCACTCAGACTGCAGCACTTCTTGAATTCACATTTTCACAGTCTCACAGTCTCGCGGTGTCCCTGCCTCCTTGTCATTATTTGTCATCATTTCACACCCAACGAGTCTGTGATTGCAATACCCACTTAGTTGCTAATGCTCAAACCGCTACTTCATATACCCCACAAGGAGAAAGTGCTTGTGCAAGGAGCTTGTCCTCCACTGAATAAACCATACAGGTGTCCACTGACCTCCTTGCAAGGATGGTGGAGTAGATGCCATTTCAGCAATTGTGGAAATTTGTTTCTGATCAAACCAGTGGCATCACAAGAGCAGCCTACATATGTAAACTGCATGTGCACAGAAAAAGTTTGGGAAGCCCTGGCTGCACAGCCAGTTAAGAATAGACTTGTATGGTGGTGGATGATAAGGGATCTTGTGTAGGAGCAAACTAAGAGCAGAAGCACTTTGTAGAATGTTTATAGACACAACATGATACAATTGGATTAATATCATTTACAGTATGAGTGGCTGACATTTAAAAATGAAACAAAATCTAAGCTTTATAGAGTAAAATATGTGAAAAATACATGGAGATAGAAACCCAGATATACAGTATGTTTCTGCATGAATTTTTTTTTTTTTTTTTTTTTTTTTTTTTACAGATGTAGATGTTTAGATGGCTTGTTCTGAGAAACAGTGAAAAAGTCATCAGTGAATCGAATGTTTAAAAGATTTATTTAAACAAAGTTAAAGCCTTTCGTTTATGTAACGGGCTTCATGCTGCAATGAATGTGTTACCTGTGTCGTGGTGTGTGTTTGACTGGGCATTCAGCTATGGTTAATTAAGTTAAAGTAGCTGTCAGATGACTGGGACCCACACTGTTTTCAGATAAAGGTGGTAAAATGAATATTAACTTAATAATTTTTTATTATGATTAGTTCGAACAATATTCTGGTGGATTCTCATCGGTAAACTCTGGATTCAAGATCAGCAAATGGAGTTCCAGTCACATGAAGTGGCTGTGGTCTTGGGCGGTAATGTCGATGAGTACGCAGAGAGCTTTTCTGTACAGACAGTACCATGGTGCATACTGGAGCACTTGGTAACCATGGCAACAAAACAACATCAGAAGAAACTGGTCAGATGAGCCAGTGATGCTTGAAGAAGAGATGAATGGTTGACTCAATGCATAACAGAGCCAAGCACAAAAGGGGACCGACTCATGCTCATCAATTTTCGTCTTCACCTCTCTGGACGAGTTGTTGGGGAAAAGGACAGATTTTTCTTTACCCCTCTGTTTGTTTTTCTGATATGATGTCCCCGAAAACTGAAGGTGTAAAAGTTGTCTTTGTGCTCACAGCTAGCACGGGTGGCATTCAGATCTTAAATGAGGCATTACAGGATTTAAAATTTGGCTGAGACATCGTCACCACCATCTGCCCCCTGTCACCAAGCCTTCCCCTTTGAAGAGGCTCGACTGTGGCCAAATCCACGGCTCCCTCTGGCCTGCTGCCACTGTCTTACATGATTTTGACCGACAAACCTGAGTTCCAAAATAGCAACATAAAAAAATATTTATTTGAAAAAAAGGTCCCTTGTGTGTAGCCATGTTTATAAAAGGTACTAAAAAAAACCTCAGTGGCAAAATGAAAAAAAAACAACAACATATTTCTACTCTTAAAGCTGCATCTTCATCCAGTCATTTAAGAGGAAATTGAAACTGAGCTGGACTGTGCTTCCCAGTGCCCCCAAATTCTTCTCAGAAGATATCCTCCCATACATAAGCACACACACACACACACACACACACAAACATATACATTTACATACTAAGCACTTCCAATTAGACGCTGACAAAGTCCGCCTGAGGACCTACAACAAACTGTAACAATGCATCATCCAATTTTCATCTCAACTGGGCAGCATGACTCAGTAGGTGTATGAGTTATGAGGATTAGGATTAGTGTGAAAAGCTTCAAATCAGTTTGCCATTAGATTAATAATTACATAAAAATCTTAAATTTTTGTGACCTTGCACTTCAGATGTTTATGTCACCCAGTTATGAGTTCTGGCTTTTAACATGTGAAATTTAAATTTAGCATCCATGTTAGTCTGCTCGCTATGTTACTGAATGCCAGAACACAAAGCCAAAATGCATCAAGCCTTCAGGAAGTTGGAGTAGGAGTGTCTGAGATATTTAAAACATATTTTAGCTTTGGTTAAAATGCTCCACTTTGGCTGGCAGTGTAACCTTCAACAGCTGGAATACTGCTGTTGAAAATTTTACATCTAAATCTGACAGACTTGAGTTGTGAACTTGAACCTCATTATACCAATTACTGTCATTTTTAACTGCCAGAACATGGTCCCAAAATGCATAAAATAAAATAAAAAAGTTTTGTTAAAAAATCACATCAACATGTTTAAACCATGATGCCAAGATGCCTCATATCTCCAACTTGTGTTAAAGCTGAACCTGCAGAGTCTGAGAGGTGACGGAGTTAAACTCATTTCATTTTGAATGCCAGGATTTCCCCTCAGGTTAGTCAGTGTAGTTCTACAACAGCTGGAACATGGTGTGAAGATGCATCACACATCCTTTGTTGTCGTTCTTCAAAATTAGACCTGTGGTGGGTGTCTGAGATATTATCAAGGATATCACACTTATACATACAGGTGCATAGATGAATGAATGAATGAATCAATGAATGAAAGAATGATAGACTTACATAATTTCTCAGTTGTGTGTAAAGTGATATTTATGTCCATAATCTCAAATCTTTTAGACCTTTAGGCCATCATAATGATCTTGTACCTCATATCAAATTATAATATAATATAATATAATGTGATATAATATAACTGTCATGATTTGTCATGTATTTTTGAGGGGTTAACCATAGAACAGTTGGTAATGTAATCCAGTGTGTAATTTAGTTTCCATCCCTAATAATAATGTCACACAAACACATCCTGAAGTGCCTTGAACAACAGACTTGAACCCTGCTGCCTGTGGCTGTGAATATAATTCCTCTCTCACAGTGGTGTTTTGATCTGTTCAGCCATGAATACTCCTAAAATAACAAAAGCCTTATTTTCTTCATTAATTCTTCATTAAACCACACAGTAAGTCATTATTTTAAAGATTACTCAGATATTGAAGAAAACATGGAGTTGCTCATTTTATCAATATGACTCTCGGGCTTATTTGTATATTGTGGCTGTTGTTACTTGAAAACAAAAGAATCTAAATTGAAGTGGTTTTACTTTTACCTACTTTATGCTACTGGAAAATTAATTGGACAAGGATTTGAAATCTGTTTATCAAATGCAACAGCTCTGCCTTTGTCATTATCCCCCAGTGAAGTTTTCTCAGTGCCGGGCTCTGCGTCAGTCTGAATTCGAAACAGCATTTACATTCCCATTAATGAAGAACACTTCATTCAGATCTTTCAAAAGGCAGAGATAAAAGACCTCTGATTCAGCAATAGTCAAGTGCCTTCTATCTTTTTCTTCTTCTGGTGAAGGAGAACAGCCTTTTATCGCCAAGATTGCCTTGAAAGGGGGAAAAACAAGTGCGCACAAAATTCTGTCTGACTTGTCATACTTACTCTTTAGTGTTTGGTGCACTGTGAGTCAAGCTTCCGAGAGCAGGTGTTAGGATCTAAGATTCATTTTGAGGTCTAATGTTTGCTTTAAACGGTCTCACATCAGCCTCGCCCATTAACTCTGCCTAAAGCATGCATGGTGTTGTTTATCTTGGTGGCTATTGGTGGTGTGGTTATATCGAAGCAGAATGAGACACCGCCAAAGAGGCTCATCTTGCATGAGAGTGCAATACTGTTTGCTTGAGACTCTGGCCATGCCGTGACTTGACACATTTCAAAAGTGGCCACGGATTTGATGGTGAATCTGATTGAATACGCATTGCAAAAAAACATTATGAAAGCATTTAGACATTCTACAAAGGAAATAAGGAAATGCGTGTTTGGTGGCTTGTGTACATCATCTGTGTGCTGGTAAAAGTCTAAAGGGGATCACTGCAAAGCATTGAGGCATGTATGCAGTTGTGTGAACCTATAGGTGAGAGCCAGAAAACACTAATGGCGAGTCTGGGTATTGTTCTTGCTGGATTCATGCAAGGGAGGTGATTTAGCTGAAGTATATCACACAAGTGCTCCTCATACTCCAGACTAATGGTGAACTCTCAGTCCTCCCCCTTCAGGACAAAGAAGGGCCATGTAATGTTTGCTGCGTTTTGATCAGGAAAATGGTAAAAGGTGAACTGAAATATGTTGTTGTTTGGGTTAGAATGCTGCAGTAAGAGATGGGCTCCATGTTTGGAGTTGTTGTCGAAATTCTCTGTCTCCTCTCACTCACCCCAAAGCAAACATATTCTTTACTTGTGTATATTTCTGGGGAGAAAAACACAGCCGTAAGTAGAATCATCATCTGGTGTGTACTTGAAATATAAAAATGCTGGCTGAATAGAAGAGGCTTGATCCCTTTGGCTACTCGAAGTTGGCCTCCATATGCACTTTAGCAAGATTAAAGCAAGTGTGGCTTAGTGTGAGAGCGGCAGGTGCTTCTCTACATAAAGTAATAGTGACTTAGAAACGCCGGTAATTTGTGCTGGCAAAGTCATATACTGTAGCGTAGCTAATAAATCAGCGTTATTAAAATACTAACATATTGTTGGCTCAGCTCATATGTAAAAATCCAAATTACAGAACCATCAGCAGACATTAGAGAGGAGAAGGTCTGGAAAAACTAGATGATACTTATACTGTAGCCTAACATGTCAAATAAAATCAATATTATGTGACCTTAAACATTATATCATCCAGCATCTGTCTGATATTGACAGAGCCACTTTCCTATCATAAGGAACTTTCCATACACAGACTAGCGCTGGCTAGTCACTTCTTCAAACTCTTTCTTTTGCAGTCACCTAAACAATAACAATAAACCAAACAATATACAGTATACAATATGCATTAACCCAAACAACATTACCTTCAGTGACAATCTGTAGGGCCATCAGGTCCGCTCCTTAGAGTGACGAGACGCCTTTCATCTATTACCGTTGCTGCGCTTATGTGAACAGGTGGTTAGTCTTGCACCAAATTTCTCTCCTGCAGTAATCTCCAACATTTATGTATTATTTTGTTTCACTTGCCAATAGATGACATTCCCATACCCTTGAGCACCAACCAAAACTTGCGTAAGAAAATCGCTTGAACAGAGTGTTGTTGTTATTTTTGCTTCAACCCTTCACTCCTAATAAAGTTGGAGCACGTACAGTTGGTGTTGGTTTGGCATTTAGGCATAAATGTAAGGTTATAACTGTCAAATGATGTCTCCTATAAGAACTTGAGGCTATACTTTATATATGTTATATATGTTTTTTTGTGTTTTGTTTTTTTGTTTTTTTTTGCATTTTTGCATTTTTGCCTTTATTTGATATAGTGACAGAAGATAGTAGAGCTAGAGAAGGGTATAACATTCAAGAAAGGTCAATAGTTGAAATCAAACCTGGGAAGAAGAATTATTATCATTATTAACAATAAGATTTTTTTGTTATATTGCACCTTTGAAAAACAAAGTTACAAAGTGCTTAACAACAAAACAAGGAATAGAACTAAAATTCAAAGCATAAAAGATCAAATTAGATCAAATTATTAAAAATGAATGTGTCTGTGCTACTAGGCCGCCAGACACCCTGACACTGACATACTGACATATCCCATGTTAACAAAAGGTCATGTAACCACCATCTGTCTGCAGGACAGCATGAACTAAAGAAGACCTGCAACACAGAGCACATCTACTTCAGCACTGTATAAGACTGTATTCAAACGGATCAAAAACTTCATGGGTTATTTTTTCTATGTCAGCATATGGATCAAAGACAGATAAGACCTAATAAATCAGTGCCAAAAAGAGGCTTAAATGAAGGACATTAGTGGAAACAGACTCTTTTTACGTATAATAACCAACCATTTTACATCTTGTAATATTTTTCATATCAGCTACACAGATCTATGGGGACTGGATCACAGAGTAACGAGTCCCCTTGTGGACAATAGCACATTTTATACACAGCTTGTCTTTAGATAAAGGGCTCTTTCTTGATTTATAATCTGCTTGTAGGCAAGGCAGCAGTAATAAAGCATATTCATGGACCACCATCTTAACGTGGACATTCTTCAGATTCAAAGTTTTATATTGATAAGATTCTTTGTTGTACTACAGATCTTACTGGATGCTATAACTGGGAGAAATCTCTGCCTCTGATAGGGTCTTGACTGAGGCTCCAGACAGCACCTCAGCCAGAGTTTCTCCACTCCCACTCTTCTGCGCTGGCTGCCATTTCTACTGTGAGGCCTGCCAAAAAACAACTGAGTCTGTTTTCCATACAAGCATCCTATGTCACCAGTAAAAAAATTAAGCTGCTAGTGGTGGACGTGTATAGTGTTCTTTTGTGGAGCTGACGAGATTCACGTCACCCCGATTCAAAGTTGTATATATTTATGTAAGTATGTGATTCCACTTCTGCAGTTAATTGCAACAAAAAGAAACATTCATTAAACAGACATTTAATTCAAAACAACACAAACTGCAACACCAAAATGTTTGTTGCTCAGGAAAAAAAAAATCATGTAATAACAAATTACCCAGTGTTAGATTCCAGTGTTAGAAATTCTCATGTTAAAAAAAAAAAAAAGCAGCAGGGTTATGAAGCCAGGCTGTGAAATTGGCATAGAGATGTGTGAAAGGACTTCATGTGGGTGAATTTAATTTATTGGGCTTTTTGTTGTCTACTGTTTTAAATGTTACATTGTGTGCAGTGATTTCTCCTGGGGTTGTGGTGCAGTGGTCAGCAGAGTGACTGGTCATGTATTTGATTTGACCTCTATTTAAGCCACAGGTTGGACAATATGAATGTCTGCCATCAGCGCTTTTGCCTATTACTGTTTACACCTGTTTACATCTCAAGGGATTAATAAGAAATGTTAACTTGTCGCACTTGTTTCACTTGTGTTCCAGGAAAGCTATATAGCCATCTAGCTGTATTATTAATCACAACATCTATTGTGTGATTATATATAAATGTGTGTGAGTGAATGCTGCAAGTTAGTCTGGAAACAGCATTACAACAGACTTTAGCCAACTTGCTGGCAGAAATGAAAACACAAAACTCTTCCACATTTGTTTCTCCACAGCTGACGAGATAATAGCTCTGTCAACTTTCAAGAGCCTTTCAAAATATTTAAAAAAGGAGACAGAAGTTACAGCACAGGGTCAAGTCCATCTGAATATTCTCAACTGTAAAAATGCACACGGATGAATAATGCTTCTACTGCTGCTGCAGTACAGAGCTGACTCACTGCAGAGTGAAAAGAAACAAGTCTGGCAGTCTGACTGAGTTCAGTGAATAAGACTATGTTAATGGCAAATATCATTTTTATGTTGTGTTGCCCTTGTGGTAATTTGAAATCATTTGCTCCCACAAGATCAGTTATGCTCAGTTACTCTCGATGTATGACCAAAAAGGTTTTCGGGGAAAAGAACTAATCAAGTTTCGAAACTGCTCCCTACAAATGTGTGCATTGATTTACGGCATTCATTTTGTGTTAAGTGCCGTCACTGTGCAGCAATTTCTTCCATTTATATTATCGTCGTTAATGAAACAGTTTATTTCTCTGTAAAGCAACTTGTACAGCAATTTGTACAACAATATAACATTGTTTTATGTCATTCATTAATCAGGTTACAGCTCCAGATCCACTTTGTACTGTGGAGATGCATGTGCTCTATCAAAATGATGCTGTTTGGACCAATGTAACATGTTGCATATTGTCGACAGGTTGTGTTGTTCGCCGAACATTCCCTGGCTAGGGCACAAGCTGCCATGCCATTTGGTTGTCTGACACTTGGGGAGAAGAAGGATTATAACAATCCCTCAGAGGTGACTGACAAATATGACCTCGGACAAATTGTTAAATCGTGAGTACATCTATTTTTTAATGCTGTATAATAAGCGTATAAATACTTTTAAAAACTTCATGGTCAAAATGTGATGTATGTTCCCTTTTCTGTCTCTCTCACAGAGAGGAGTTTTGTGAGATATTCCGGGCGAAGGATAGGAACACCTTGAAAATGTACACCTGTAAAAAGTTCCACAAAAAGGACGGAAGGAAAGTGAGGAAAGCTGCTAAGAATGAGATAATGATCTTAAAGATGTAAGTGAAGTTTTAAGCACCTCATTATAGAGGAAAAGTCTAATAGCAAATGATCAGCAAAATTCTCTATTAAGGTCGAGCCAAGGGCAAAGCGAAGCTCAAACACCAACACCCAGAAGGAGCCATATTACGTAACACCATGAGTTGGGGAATTGATCACTGCTTTCAGTTTAGTCACATTTGCAGATCCGCCGGCAAATGAAAGGATAACTTCTAATGGTTTTCATTCTGTTGATTGTGATTATAATAATAATCAACATTCATGGCCAAAAATTGAGTAGATCATAAAGTAATTTGATCATTAAGCATTGAAAATCCTGATAGTACGCATTATGATGATGATTTGTAATTACAGTATGCAAGTGGCAACTGGGCCCAATCTCATGTTTTAAAACTTCCCCCCTCAGATGGATTAGACTGTGGTGCTATACTGGCAATTTTCAAAGGATGTGAAAAAAAAAAGTCAAATCATCACTTTAACTGAATGTCTGGCATGACATTGTACTACTTATTCACTCTATATGTTGTTCATTTTAACACCATTTAAGTCCACTCCTTCTCCCCCTCCCATCATTCTCTCTCCCCTTTTCCTGCTTTTCAAAGGGTAAAACATCATAACATCCTGCAGCTGGTTGACGCTTTTGAAACTAAGAAAGAATACTTCCTTTTTCTGGAGCTGTGAGTATCATTCGAGGCACTTGAGAGAACAGTTGGCTCAGACGGGTGTGCACTGTACTTCCTCAACTTGTATAAAGCTGATGTTTTATTGAAAATGTTTTACATTTCTGTCATCAACAAGTGACATGCATTTTATTTGCCTGTCCCATCTCTTCAGCGCCACAGGCAGAGAGGTCTTTGACTGGATCTTAGATCAAGGCTACTACTCGGAGCGGGACACCAGCAATGTTATGAGGCAGGTGTTGGAAGCTGTAGCTTACCTGCACTCTCTGAAAATCGTCCACAGAAATCTGAAGGTATATCACACTGCTGACACCTAGTGAAAAACAACAGCACTTCACCTTGGGCCAATAACTGCCCTTTATAAATATGAAACAGTGTACATTCAGATCAAACATTTTCCAGTTATATAAGCCTTTATCTGTTTACTTATACAGCTGGAGAACTTGGTGTACTTTAACCGTCTGAAGCACTCCAAAATTGTTATCAGTGACTTTCATTTGGCAAAACTGGAAAATGGACTCATTAAGGACCCATGTGGGACTCCAGAATATCTTGGTAAGAAGCATAACATCTGATTATAGATCAGTTTTTTTAATTAGGTTAATTTGATAGTTTTATAATCATACATTAGGAACAAATCTTGATTTGTTAGTCTAAGGCTACAACATACTTAAAGCTTGTTTCTGCTCTCAGCTCCTGAGGTGGTTGGAAGGCAGAGATATGGAAGACCTGTGGACTGTTGGGCCATAGGTGTCATCATGTATATACTGTACGTGCCATGTGTCACGTGCTCACCAATATGACATTTTTAAAGTATATTTAAGTGATCGGTTTTTCGACAAAACATGTCATGTTCTTATTTTGCTAACTCAATAGTTTGTCTGGGAACCCTCCTTTCTATGATGATGCTGATGAAGATGACTCTGACAATCGTGATAAGAACCTTTTCCTAAAGATTTTGTCAGGGGACTATGAATTTGATTCACCATACTGGGATGACATTTCAGATTCCGGTAAGAGATAAAATCAATCAATGAATTAAAATGTAAAGTATATCAATGTAGTTGTGCTACAAATGTCAAAGATAATGTAATCAAGATCTGATATTGCTGTTATTATTTATGTCTGTGAATGTTCTCATTCGTCCAGGTCATAGTTATCTCTCTCTCAAATTAAATCGAAGGCAACTGGACTTGTATTTTAAATACAAGTCCAGTTGCCTTCGATTTAATTTGAGACTGTTATTATTTATGTTTTTCAGCCAAAAACTTAGTGGCATCTTTGATGGAAGTGGATCAAGATCAGCGATTGACTGCACAGGAAGCTATTGCCCATGAATGGTATAAATGGTCCCACCAGCACAAATGGAGTTATGGCCCTTGTTGTATAGGAACCACAAATCCATTAATGTTGATAATGAAACTAATGTTCTCTTGCTCCTTCTCTTAGGATTTCTGGAAATGCAGCTTCAGACAAGAACATCAAGGATGGAGTTTGTGCACAAATAGAAAAGAACTTTGCCAAAGCCAAGTGGAAGGTATTACTTCACATATAACTTATATATCAATACATTTTTGCACATATATCATTATTTGTTAGGTGTATTAGACAAACTGATTATGTTATATTCATGATCACGACCCCAATCTCCCTCTATTAGCACTGTACTGAAATGTTGTGAATTTGCAATTCTCTGCCCATAAAATGGAGAGTTTTTTTATGATATAACCACCATTTAAAAATGCATAAATATGAATATAGACATACTCCATTCACTGCCAGAAACAACTATTAAAACAAATTAAAGTGCAGTGACAATTGTATTTTTCTCCACTGCTTTAGGATTGTTCCTACCAACCCAATCAACTTCTCATGTCAATGTCAAAAACATATTCATATAACTAAATTGCTGCTTATAATATAAATCATATTGTTTGTATGCAATTTTTCCAAAAAGTCAGAAAGTGTGTGCTCCAGACAGAGAACCTGGCTTCTCAACCTCAAATGTAAAATGTAAATCAAAAATATATTTAGTTGTTAAAGCAGTCAGAATCTGTACAGCTTTATATTTTTGATCCAAATATCATTGTTAAGACGTTTTGGCCAGAGGCCTTCCTCCAAGCGTTTACCCTGATATTTTTTGTTGCTGTATTGATTACATCTCAAGGAGGAAGGATCGACTGGAAAAGTTTGCTGTATGTCATTAACCATGATTTTTATTACCCACAGAAAGCTGTTAGAGTGACCACCCTCATGAAGAGGCTCAGAGCGTCTGAGCAGGGTGACTCCGGTCTCACTGCAGGGTCCGCAGCTGACCCCAACACACCCGGCAGCGCTCCTGCTCTTCCAGCCGGAAGCGGCGACAGTGTTGCAGCCAGCATAAAAGCTGCTCTTAGTGAAAAGGCTCCTGGCACACAGACTGCCGCCATCTCCGCGCTCGCCCCGCCCAGTGCAGCCCGACAGGACGAGCAGCCTCAGGCACGGTGCAACGGCGATGTTCCCCAAATGTTGCCACAGAGAAAGGGAGAGTAGGCATCGATCAAATAAAAGAAGAAGACCCATATCCATCCAACAAGCACATGTGCAGTACAGCCAATAAATTTGGCACAATGATACCATGTCTATGCTGTTTGACTATCCCCCAGTTTGCAGAATTATTTCACAACACCATGCACTTCATCTTTTTTTTTTTGCCTTCTGTACTGATTGGTCTATCGAATAGTGTTCTCCATTCTCCCTTGTTACTTTATGTAAAAGTCCCTTTAAAGCTAGTTGCAAAGTACCTCTTCTGTTGTTTCCTTTTCCCTAAGAACTGCAAAAACCCATAGTGTAATTTAGTGAAATCAACTCATCTTTATTCATCAGCTCATTGTATATAGATGTATTTGTCTGTTTCAACAAATTGCTAGTTTTCAGCTTCAGAATTTACAATCCTGAGTTCATGTCTTGTGACTTAAAATTATGAGTTGGAAGATTTAGTAAGTTGATCATCACAAGGTTTATTTCTAGAAATAAATTAAATTAATTAATAAATGAAAGAATACTTACAGCATGTATATTTGATTTAACTCTTTAGGAACCATGCTTCAAATTGAAATACAGCTTGAGTGAATCATAAGACAATTCATAATTAAAAAGAAATGAAAATGAAAGTGATTTTAGCGATGTTGAAAACTTCAAAATTGGATGATACTTGAGTCATGTTGAAGCCAGTCTGTGAAAAAAATCTTTTTTGGTGAAAGACAATGTAACAATCAGATACAGATCACAATTTATGGGTTCAGCTTGACACCCTGACAAGATATCTTCTGGTTTATCTTCAGTGCAGTACAACTTCAGACAACTTAGAATTTTAAGGCAGCAAGAAAGCATATTTTTAAGTTAAAGTGCCTTAATATTTGTTGCAGTAATGTACTGAAATGTTTCAAAAGAAACAACTTGATTATAATTGCTTAATGACTTCTTTGAAATGTTTTCGCTGTTTTCCTTTGCTCCTCTGTTTAGTCTTACGCTGCTGTATTGATACCTGTGTTCTGTCCTCTTCACATTTCATTTAAAACACAGAAAACTAGACTTAGAGCATTCTATGTGGAGTGATGTTTTAGCCGTTGATGTTGTGTTGTCACTTGTAATTAGTAAATTCAGAGTTTAGAGCTGAGTCCATATACTGTACCACTATGTATATTTGCATTGTATACATGTGTATTTTTTTATTTACATGTGTATTTAGCAACATTTAGCTGAGCTAATGGGTTGCTACAACGCTTGTGAATGAATAAAATGAGCAATACTAATGCTGCTGAAATTGTGATGTTTTTCTCAAGTTGTCCCTCACTGAGTTTTTTAATATTTGACAAGACCAGCCCCTCCACCAGCAACCATTTTTAGAATTGCATTAGAGAATATATTATTTTCTATATATGTCTACTGTATATTAAAAATGTATATAAAATTTATATACTTTTACTTACTCACTTTTTTCTGTATCTCAAAAAGAAAATGGTTATATTTTTCAGAACGAATATTGATCAACAGATATTTGATATTTCAGTGCTCAACAGAGTTACCATGCAAGGTGAAGGAAATGCCAGCACTCCCACTAGAATAGTATTGTATTTTAATATTAATATTGTAAAAGTTACCATGCAGTATCATTGTTAGAGAGCATAAACCAATCAAAAAACTGCAATCATACAGGTTCATGTCATATCAAAGAGATAGTGGTTTGATGAATCCCAAATTAAGTTCTTGCAATTCGGCCACTTAAATTTGTTTATATACAGTAAAACTGAAATATGGGGCATATGATGGTATTTTTATGGCTCCTGGGGCAGACTACTTTTTTATGGCTCCTAGCAAGATAGGACATGAATCCCAGTGCCAGGGGTCAGCAATTAGGTTCAACTGTGGGCCAATTTTTTTCAGCACTGTCCAATGTGGGGCAACACAGTTTTACAAGCACATGTGAGATGCAGACCTATATATTCTTTGTTTTTGTTTTTTTTTTCCTTGGAGTGTTTTATTTGGTAGTGTTTTATTTCTTTTAATAATAAAACTGATTTATAAAACATGCTGTTTTGGATTTATAACAGAGTAGTGGTCATGTTTTCCATTAGTTAGTGAGTGCCAGCAGTGTTACACTGTAAAACTCACTTGACAAAAAATGACGTTGAGATTCAAATTGCAATGGTTAGGTTATCCACCCTGAATAAACAGTGACCTGTTGACCTCTTCCATTTATGGTTGAAAGGAAATATAGTTGTTCTTGCTACCTTTTAAGAAAACATATTTAACATACCTGTGAAGACACTCATTATTTGTTAGAATTTTTATTTGTTATTATTTGTTGTGACAAGATTTATTCGGTGTTCGTTAGGATTTGCACAAACCTGTTATATATCAAGGCCTAACCCTGAATGACATCGAATATGCCAGTGGTTGTGTTTAATAGCCGCTAGGAGGCAGTGATTGACCTTTCTGCCTCTTGTGTGTCGTACAAAGAAGAAGAAGAAGATCCGTCTCCGCTGCAGCAACAGAAGAAGAAGCTTCGTCTCCATTTTTCATCTGTTTGTTGAAGCCAAGCCATCGACGACCTAGAAGACAACCCTCCGCAATATCGATACTGTACTCGAAGAACAAGCAAAGTGGGTCCTAAAAACAATATTTACGGTGAAATATATTGTCCGTGAAGTGTTCTGTATTTAAAAGGACGCTGTTGGAAACCAACGCAAAGAAGCGTCTTTTTTAACGTTAATCTTAGCCAAGATACGCTAGCTCCGATACGGTCACCCTTCGAATGGTGTCGTCGGATAAAATGGTCTTTAGCTCGCCAATTTAATTACACTAACATTGCCAATTTAAGGCGGTTGTTCTCTTGTATACCTTTGTTGATTGCAGTGCTGTCATTTACAACACTCAAGTTCTTTGTTTATGTTGTGGCGTAGATTATTTGGGCCTAGTGATGGCTATATTTAGCGGGCCACTCTTCAGTGGGCCAGCATTAGCAAGCACACCGCCCAGATTGGTTACTTGCCCCTGGTTTGACGTATGCATCCGTCAAATATGAAATAATACACTCGCCGACATACCTTATAATCCATTAGTTTTATGTGGCTATGTGCTCAAAGATCTTTAATCACTCTAATTTAGGGTTAGGGTTTTTTTGTCTTGATTTTTGAAAGTTTGGCCAAAAATGCTATGCCAGCCATTGCCAAGTTAAAAGTGGTGACTTCATCTACCGTATTATGATGCAAACCTTTAACTTTGCTTCTAGATAAGATACTGACTGCAGACATGTGGGATGGGCCGGGGCCAGGGCAAGGACCACGGGGAGGACCACCCTTTCGGTAAGCATCATTTAGTCATAGGTTCAGATTTAAGAGAAACCTAACCAGTCCAGTAACTGTACTTTTGCCTTTGCTGTTTATCAGGGGTGTGCAATATGGCTAAAATCTGCTAGCAGAGTATATGTTATTTGATAATGTGATATTGATTGCTGCAATGAAGTAGTGCATTTTCTGGTGATACTATTTTTTAACTGTTTAAATCATTTAATGTCTCACTCAAAATTGTATCACATTTCTGCATTTGATGACTCCACTCCTTTTTCTGTTCATGGCAAAATCTGACAGATAAATTAGATACATTTCTATTGTTGCACAGTATATGTACTGCTCATCCCTTCTGTACGTTTATGTTGATTGGTTGGGCAATTTTGAAAAGTAATAGTTCTCCCCTCCATATTGATTTGTTGAAAGCTTTGTTCTTTGGCTATGTGCACATCAAAAAAATCAGAAGCCTAATATATTAACATATATTCCAGTGGTGATCATCGTGGAGAAATGTTTGGGGGCAGAGATCGATCCATGCCTGATTACAGAGGTAGAGATGGGATGAACATGGGTTCCATGGGTCATATGGGCCCAAGACCTCTAGATGTACCACCTATGGACATGAGGAGGATGGATGGACCACCCATGAGGGGGCGTGATATGGACCCACGTGACATGCGAGGTAGAGAGCCAAACAGAGATTTCTTCAGACCTGGAGAAGAGCCAGACTTCAGCCTTAGAAGGCATTATGAAATTGCCATCAGAGACAAACTGATGAATTCCTCTGGTTTCCCGGGACCAGGCAGGAACTCAGCAGACATGGGAGGGAGGGGTATGCCACCAAGGGATCCAAACAGCAAATTTATGGACACGAGAGACAGAGAGTCGTTTCATTACAACACACCACGGTTCAATAACCCCAATATTGATGGAAGAAGAGGGTTTCCTGCAGACCGAATGGAGCGAAATGACGGATTTAGGGACATGCGTGAACGGCCCCCAATGGGCATTGGTGACAATGATCGCTATGATATGGACTTACCTCCACGTGAAAGGAGAATGATGGACACTGACAGACGAGGAGGGCCTCCTTTCAATCCAAGAGGTGGATTTGATTCTGATATGGATTTCAGAAATCGTCCTGGACCATCAGCTGAATTAAGAGGTAGAGACCGATCACCCTTAAGATTTGGAAATAGTGATATCCCTCCAATGGACAGGGCAAGGCCAGACATGCCTTCAGATGTTGCTGGCCCTCATAGATCAGAGTTTATGGGTGCAGAAGACGGTCTCAGAGAGAGAGAGTATCGAGATTCAAGTGACAGTCCCCTTGTGGATTATCGGAGCGGTGAAGAGATGACTCTTGCAGAAGAATGGAAGAACCGTCGAAAGGACAAAAACCCTTTCTTGAACATGGGTAAAGGTATGGGAGGTGTACCTGAACCCAGCTTCCCTGTAGGTTTTGGCAGAGATGTGAATGTTAGAGATCCACCACCGTTTCAGGAAAGGGATAGGCCACCTGTTGAATTTCCAAGGAAAGATGTTGGCTTTCCTCATGGTGACCACTTTTCTGCTATTGACCTACCACCAATTGGCAACAAAGGTCCACAAGACCACCCGCCTCCAGAAATAAGTCCTCTTACTGGCCCTCTTGGTAGAGAAAATGAGAGTAAACATTGGCTTGGAGAAAGGGACCCAAAGCATAATCAGAATAAATCGCATCATGATGAAAGGCCACCTTACCATCAAGAGAAGAATCAGCCTGCACACGAGCTGCAGGAGACAAATGATTGTTTTACAGGGTTGAAAAACATCCCGCACAATCAAGGACCTGTCAGGGGTAAGATGGGGGTGGAACGTGATTTCCAAAACAGCAGCACTGGGCAGGCGAGAGACCAAGACTACAGAGACATTGATTACAGAACAGGGTCCGGGAGGGCTTTTGAGTACAAACGCGAGGAGCTTCAGCCAGCGGAGAAACTCATCAAAGAATCTAAACCAATCACACCTTCAAAATTTAGTGAGTCAGGTTCTCAGGTATGTGTTTGTTTTTTTTCCCATTAGTACTTGTTTAAAATTATATTTTCATTTTTGTAATATGTTGATGTTTCATAACCATAATTTTAATCAATATCTGAAAGGATCAAGATTACAGGAGTGCATCAGTGGAGGACAAAGTTTCCAATACAATATCCATTATTGGTATTCCAAAGACTGCCACAATGGAGCAGGTATTTATCAAACAGAAAAGCAACTTTCTTTTACCAGACTGTGTTGGTAGTAGTTTGCATAGACATCCATTGTATAACTCACTCGGTTTGATATTTTGTTTTGCAGATTCTTGGTGCCTTTGTAGTCCGTGATGGTGTGCCAATGCAGGGGATGAAAATCAAAAATGTTGTGCCAGGTAAGAAAGAAATGTTTCTTTTTGGAACTGTTTGGGGCAGTCGATCGCTACCATGTCCCACGATGTTTCGCTTTTCACGACATTCGAACCTCCGCATTCTTTCTTTTTTATGATCTTGGTTGCTTTTGTTGTTGCTGGTCTGTGTGAACTTGTTCAGAAAGAAGGGGGGGGGGTTCTCTTATGCCATGACAATGTGGGGTCATTGTCAGTAAATGGAGGATTTACCAAGGAATCAACATTAGGAGCTTCGGAGAGTGATAGTCAATGTTGGTCACAAAATATCTGTGACAAGTGACTCACTGAATGTGTCCTTCAGGGACAGTTTATCTAAGTTCTTTGATCGAAAAAAGAATGTCAACAAACCTGAAATGGAAACTGCCTTGTAAGTGCTTTGTTCATCCTGCTGATCTAAACATCTGCTTAGAGTGAAATTTTTCCTTAACGGATCGCTGTACATGTGATTTATATATGATGCCAAGCTTTCTTGTGGAGATTATTATGTCTCAAAAGCCTTTTTAATTTTGTATAAATATATCAAAAC